TTGAAGGCCACATAACCATAAATGGTCACTGAAGTCGGACAAAACTATTATCACTGAACCTCATCATACATAGCCTTATCTAAGTGATGACCAGTGGATGAAGGTGGATGTTGCATTAAGAGATGTTATACTTTCTGATTATGCAAAGAAAAACAATGTGAATACTTCAGCTTTAACTCAATCTGCGATTCGTGATATTATACTTGGAGCTGAGATTACTCCACCATCACAACAGCGGCAACAGATGACTGAGATTGAAAAACAGGCACATGAAGCAAACCAAGTGACAACTGTAACAAAAAAGACCACAAATGTTCACGGTGAAGAACTTATAGTTACAACCACTAGTCCATATAAGCAAGTTACTTTTGGTTCGAAGACTGATTGGCGTGTCAGAGCAATATCGGCCACAAATTTATACCTTCGAGTAAGCCACATATATGTGAACTCCGAGGATATAAAGGAAACGGGCTATACCTATATCGTGCCAAAGAACATCTTGAAAAAGTTTATATGCATAACAAATCTTCAAACACAGACTCTAAGGTATTTGTACGGTGTAAGTCCTCCAAACAATCTGCAGGTTAAGGAAATATGGTACATTATGATGCCACCACAATGAGGGACTCATCGACAAGTCCATCTCCCATCATCTCTCTCGGAACATGATTTCTTAAATGATTTGGAGCCTTTGGTATGAATACATACTCAACCAAATGAGCTCTCGCAGTTTTCGTGTCAGGATCTCACTTCACATGCTAAGGTTCTAGAGAACAACAAACAATGGGATGGGGAGAAGTGTATTGTCTTAACTTGCAGTTTCACTCCGGGTTCCTGTTCTTTAACTGCATATAAGCTCACTTTATTTTGGTTATGAATGGGGACACATTAATAAGGACACTGGAATCAACCCTCACGGTTACCTTCCAACTCATTATGAGAAGGTTCAGATGCTCCTCAGTGATCACTTTGTTGGTTTCAATATGATTCCTGATAATGGTCCTTGGAATTATAACTTCATGGGAGTGAGGCACGCATCAGGGATGAAGTATGAAGTGAAGCTTGGGACTCCTAGGGAGTATTACCACGAAGATCATAGACCAACCCATTTCTTAGTTTAGCAATATGGAACAAGGGGAGATAATTGCTGAGGGGGATAGAGAGGATACATTCCCTTAGATATATAAATGTTCAGTTTATCTTTCAGATACATGTAAGTGGCAGATCCTTAAATTTCTGAAACTTGTCATAAGATGTTGTATTGTCTATTGTTTCTACGCCCTGATGATTTTGCCTCTCACAAACATAAAACAAAGAACACAACCCCCAATTTTTACAAATACTTGCAGAATATTGAAACAACTAAATATTTGAGAGAAGAATTTACAAACAAAAACAGTTAGCCTAGTGGTTATGCGCTGGTCATGCATGTAAAAGATCTTGAGTTCAAATCCAATTTGAAGCAATTTTTTGAGATTACTTTCTATATTTTCAAAGAATATTTACATGTCATTATTTTTTGATGATTATGATTAAATTATGAAAATAATATGAATGGTAATTGTGTGAATATGCTAACTTTCCTATGTTTTACACCGCTAATATATTTGAGTGTATTTTCACCTTTCTTTGTTTATTGTGGTGTATGTGCTCTTTGGGGATACAAACACTCAGGTTAAGGAGTGGTTGCTTGAGGTAGAGGACGATGTTGATGCCTCCTAAATTGTTTTATCCTTCGGGTCTTTAGTGCAATCACTCTGATATATATAATATTGGGGATGAATTATTCTATTTTTCTTATTACATATTTTATGTAACTTTGGAGTTGTTAAACCAACTTAGTTATTCTACGATTAATGAGACCTTTATGTCAAATTTATTCTTTTTTTTTTCCTCATAATTCGAAAGAATACCTTGGATTGGTTATTTTATGATTGTTGAATCATGAGTGACACTCTAATTGTTTAAATTATTTATTAAATTATCTTATTTTATGTCGAGGGAGGAATTAGGATGATATATGAACCATGTGAATGAATTTGGTGTCAATTTCATCTAAATAATCCAAAAGTATGCTTGGATTACTAATTTTAAATGCTTGATATAGGTCAAAACCAAGTGATGACCTAAGTTCACTTAAATCAAATTTGTTTAGGTCATCATTCTTTGTCACTTGAAAATAATGATGTGATGATGTACCATAAGCAACTTCAACAAAATGGAGTGATCTTATACCATATGAATGTATGAAATAGACAAAAGAAGTATCACACGAACTTGATTAACAAAGTACTAAAGAATTACACTTTTAATTAAATTTTGACAAACAATGAATGATGAATGAATAATATAATGAGAATTTGGAAAGAAATATTCTTCTAAGTCAAAAGTTGACTACTTAATCTTAATTTCGACTTTATTGTATGAAGATGAAGTCTAATGATCCTGAGATGATGCGTGCTTATGATAAACGTAAGTGACCGATGGTTAAAGCTATGACCTAGTGATTTCTCCTCTTATCATCAAAGAAATTTTAAATACTCATAGATGACATGAAAAGAGGAGGGACAAAATTGAGGTATAACAGATCTCATATCCAAATCTATGATTTACCAGTTCGTAACCTTCTCAGGTTACCGAATCAAGAACAAATTGATTCCCAGTTTTCATATTTTCTGCGAAATCACAATCATTTTCCATCTTCACTGTTCACAACTTCCTCAGATCTTAAAATCGAAAAATGCTCAGGAGCGAATACAGAGATTTGTCAACCACCGCTTCTTCTCCAAATCTTTGGAATCTATATCTCTGATTCCTCGAGAACTCAGTTCCCCAAATATAAGGTTGTGTCGTAGTCTAAAAATGATTTCCATGAAAGTAAGGCTGGAGATTCGCAATTCACCTCCCGACCTAATGTCATCCTCATATTTCCCGTCGTTGTTGGAATGATTATTGTTGGAGGGGGGGGGGGGGGGGGGGGGGGGGGGAGGGGGAGGTAGTAGAAGTATTGATACATAATCATGACTAGACACCTTTTGTGAGAGCACACGACTTATTCACTTAAAACTTTAAGGTGATATGTGAGTGAGTTTTTTCACTTACAATAGTTCAAGTCACCACATTCATATCCAATGTGAGACTATTTCCTCACTTACTCACACTTACATTATTATTCTAGCACCCCTCGTCAAATGTGGGTCCACAATGCTCTCCTTCAAGACACTTGTATTAACGTTGACATCTTACAACGAGACACCTCTTCTTGAGCATTTCGATACTAAACCAATATTTTTCTCGAACCAAAGGCTCTGATATCAATTATTGGGGGAGTTACTAGGAGTATTGATACAAAGTTGAGGATTATGCACCTTTGTGAGAAATACACCACTTATCCACCTAAAACCTTAATGTGATAGGTAAGTGAATTCTCTCACTTATATATATGCTAAAGTCTCCACATTTTTATCCAATGTGAGACTATGTCTTCACTTACTTACACTTGCATTATTATTCTAACACTTCCCTCAAGTATGAGTCCACAATGCTCTCCCACTTGACACTTGTACCGCCGTTGACACCTTACAACATGACACCTCTTCTTGAGCATTTCAATACAAGTAAGTCGGTCTCTTTCTCAAACCAAAGACTCGTGGTACCATTTATTGGAGGAATTACTCGGAACATTGATATAAAGTTGAAGATTATGCACTTTTGTGAGAGAAACACCACTTATTCACCTAAAACTTTAAGGTGATAGGTGAGTAGGTTCTCTCACTTATAATAGTTAAAGTCACCACATTCTTATTCAATATGAGACTATTTTCTCACTTACTTACACTTACATTATTATTTTAACACTTATAGGAGCAACATCAAAAGATATTAAAAATTCATAATTAATAACACTCAAATACCACAAATTCATAGTTAACATCAAGCGTCGGTCCAAGACCAAGGTGTATCGTGAGGGTACCACATCATTTCCATTTTCAAGACACATCGTGACATAACATTTAGGATCATCTAATCTGCTTTATCATCTCTCAAATTTCAATCATCTTTCTTTCAACGTTATCTAAGAATAATAACAATATGACTATTTTTCCATCTTTTGACATTGTCCAGCCTCTAAACCAATTTTTTAAACCTGCCTTCAATTTTGTTAGGGTCCAAATTACATTTATTTATGTAAATGATCAAAGGCTCCTGCAAATTCTGATAATATATAATTGCAGAAAGGGTCATGTTTGAGAACTAGAAAAATATTGTAAGAAAATATTGTGTTAGACACTATTATCTATATAAGATTCGTGTAGTATTGACTATATATTATTAATGACGCCAAGTGAAATAGAAGAATATTAAAAAAAAAAAATCATTTACAACCCCAAAGCCAAAAGTATGGTGGCATTTTGGATATTTTCTTAGAGATCAGGGTAAATTGGAAAATTAATTTTAAAAAGGGATAATTTTTTTTTAAATCCATATATTTTATGCTGAATTGAGAATATCTACATAGTAGGTAAATGGACATTTGCTTATTTCAAAAATGCTTAAGCAATGCCCACCAGTACTTTACACAACCAGCCATATAAATAAATTGACTTGTAGGAAGTATTATGGATAATGCATTGTTTGTATTTTTCATTGTTCCGACAATAAACCAATTTTCAATTTCTTGTAAACTGGCAATATAATTGAAGTATTGTTTGTATTAACTTCAAAATTATGATAAACAACTTATTAAGAAAATACTTAAATAATATACATCATCTGATTTAGTCTTGAAGAATCCTTTCAGTTTGGTAAAAATATGTTTGGTCTCCTTTCGTTGATTGGCCTAGGACTTGTATGAGAAAATTGCTGCATACTTATAGGCAGAAATAAGTTACATGGTTTCACATGTTGTGAGTAATCATAAGCTATCATATTCTATCATATCATATGAAAATATACATTAGGCCGTTACTTCATGGTGTAGGGATAAATAAGCACAAACATTATGCTCTGATGTCTGGACTCTCATCATGACTTGATACAGATGAAGAGGCAGCAATTTGTTTGCCTTTGCTATCAGACAATGATGTGCCCTCCTCGCCTACACTTTTGTCAACATTTGCTTTCTGTAGGAAAATAATATCACCGAGTTAATTTTTTTCTTCATTTGGAAGAAACTATTCTCATAAGACATTTGGTTATAAGTAAACTAGTTATAAGATTAGATGCTAAAGACGAACAATAGTAGTAACAATAATCAATCTTTGTTTCACCATTGTCTAAAGTAATTGATTTGATCAAACACCTCTACTTTAACTTTTATAAACTAGTAAACCAATAGTTAAAAGCGCCTTTGTGTGCATATATACACAAATATTCACTTAACAATTAACATAAATTTTTAAAAATGAAAATAAAAAACATGTTCAAAAAGTAAATAGGTTCTTGTTATGGGTGTTCCTAGAAATGCATTCTCTCTAGTTAGTTTCTATTTTCTTTGTATCACAAATGAAGAAAAAAAATCTATGACCAAATGGTGTTCCGACTATCTACATATAGAAGTCGAAATTAAAAATGAAGATAAAAAATGTTATTAGAAAATTGTACCTCACTCTGGAGTTTCCTTTGGGCTCGTTCTCCATCAAGTTCTGCATTGGGCGATTCAACCACAGATCTTTGAACCATGGGATGAAGAGTGTAACCAGGGGGGCTGCGAGTTCGAAAAATTAGACATTTGTCATAGGTTCAAGGAACAACTCTTGCACCATCTTTACATATATCAAAGATTTATGGTTCAGTTCATTAATTCTTCCATGATAAAGCGATGAAAAGTAGAGATTGTAAGTTTTCATAATTTCAGATTTAAAGAGAAAAGGAAGCATCTTAATTTAGGAACATCGATTGAATGAAACTATACATTTTACTGCAGAGAAACATATATTATCCTATCACTAAAATCCAGGTTTCAAAAGCAAACGGCTTTATTCTAAGTAGAAAAACACTATCCATCTATTTTCCTCCTCAAGCAGTAAGTAGAAAGGACAATTTTCTTATTTATTTTCATGCGAAAAGAGAAGACACGTCTGAACACTATTAATTTAAGAGTGTTGTTTAATATTGCATTTTAAATTCAGCATAATTCACTATGAACACATTTTTTCCATTGATTTTTTTTCCAGCAACTATACAAAAGAGACATACTGTCCTAGGTGAGATTGCTTACCATGCAAAAGTTGGAGAAGGGTAAACATAAGACTTCTCATATATTGAAGCAGCTGATGCAGCAGCTTGAAGTCTTGCTTGATGCCGACTCAAACTATCACATGCCACCCCATTGCCAACCTCATTTTGAGCTGAGCTTCCAGTGCCTGCCCCTGTTCCATTTCTAGGTTAATATTAAAATATATCAACAAGAATAACCACCAAACCTGGTTGTTCCCACTAGCATTAGGTGATATTTTAGGTTAAATAATCAACTTCAAATATCACATTGAATACATAATACATTCAAAACTATGATGTTTGATATGACATGGTAAACACTACTTATATAATCCTTACATATATCCCCTTCTATAAATTATTTAAACAGTATAGTTATGTCAGACTCTGCAGGCACCATCATGAACCCAAAAAAAGTTTGAAAAGTTAAGTGGCGAGTATTTTTATGTGCATCAAACAAATTATGAAAGAAAATGTATGATAAACTTCTGCAAGTGTACAACAAAGAGCTTATAGTTTTTTGCTATGGGTGAAATTAAGATGATTTAAAAAATACTAGGCCATTATTTGGAAAGGTGCATATACAACGAGCAATAGTTGGTCAGGATCATCCTTTAACTATATTTCTTGATCTTTTTATTCAAAAGCACCTTATTCCTGGAAATATAATTCCAAGTATTGGCACATTACTAAAATATTTTTTATACTTATGAATACTGTTCACCTATAGTAGTTGTTTATCAGATGATTACCGTGCAGATGAGCATCTGACTGTGACCTTTGCTGCCCACCAGCAGCAGTACTACCATTTTCCGTTGGGACAACCAGTGCTCTGCAGGTAGGGCAAGTATGCTGCCTCTCCAGCCATGATCGGAGGCAGTGAACATGAAAAAGATGACCACATATAAGTTTCTTTGCAGTAACCATCTCTTCGCGACAGATGATGCAGGTTGCATCACTTCTGTAAAACCATATCAAGAAATATTGTTTCAAATGCCTAAAAACAAAAACAATTGAGTATAGATGCAATCCTAAGTTTAGAACTCACGCAATAAGCTCTTCAGGGGTAGCATCTGGAAACCGGTCATTCATGTTAGAAGTGATCTTACGATAACGTAAGTAATCTGCAACACGGATTTTGAAGTTCCTAAATGTCTCGTACAGCTCCCTTATTAAGTGCAAAGGAACACCGTAGTTTCTGATAAACCAAATTAAAGTTAGAAGGTGGTAAAGACAAAACCCATCAAGGTTGAAAATGTAATCAGATCAAAATTAAAACTAGAGAGAAAATAAAGAGCATAAAAAAACAGGTGAACCAAATGATTCCTTAGCATCTCAAAAAAAGAAGTATTACTGAAAGATGCATAAGAAAATGAAACCTATAACCTTGTCATGTTTAAAATATGAACCCAGAACTAATACTCTTTTTCTATCTTCAAGGGTTTCATTTAATTCCTATTAGCCATGAGTAACACACTAAATCTAACATGTTCTTGCATTTAGTCTAAAATAGCATTCAAGAAGTATCAAAATCTATGGTGATTCTAACCGGGAAATATCATGTAAGTAGTTTATCAAATGCAAACCATATACTTACCTTCAACGTGTAACTTTTAGGAATTTGAACCAAAAACCAATATTTTAAATCCAATATGTTAATTTTCAATTCTGACCTTAACTAATTTGATTGGTTCGGGTGTGCTAAGGAGCCTCATTTCGGTTTTAAGTGGGTACATTACATGTTATCGATATTGATACAACACAGATGTACTAATACTATGCTACTAGCATAAGTTCAGTACTAAGCCTCTCAAGGAGTCATTGCAAGTTTCAAACATTTAAATTAGGACAGAAACACTATTTGACTTTAAAAATCTAAAGTGCTTCTTAGCTGGAGAAATGTGGCACTTGGTCTCTTTAAAAGCTTTTGAAATACTTTCAAAACAAACAACATATACTATAGCTTCTATAGTGCTACTGCTGCGTGCACATGCTGCTATGAAATTTAAATTATGCAAGGGAGTAGTAACACACGCAAGTGATGACTTACATGAAAATTGCCAGAAAGAAGCACATATACATAGACAAGTGAAGCAAGTCCTTAACAAGATCCAAGTAAAATGTGAAAACTGGTTTCTTTTCCCATTGTCCCTCCATAAGCATATCACTGACATAGAAAATATATTTTACAAAAATTGCCACCGTTGTTGTTGCTAGTATCATGTACCTGAGATAGAAACATATACCATGTCAAAACAACACACGCGTCCTATTACATTATAAATAGTATTATTGTAAATTAAAAGAAATGTTAACTTGTTGAACTATAATGGAACAAGGAACAAGTAGGTCTTACTCAAAAGAAAAGAAGAGCGAAACGGATGCCTGGTGTGTTGCAAGTAAATGCTTGACCGATCTATAGAAAAACGTGGCATCTAAAAGAAGAAGGAAAGCCAAAAAAGAGACAATCCGAACTTGAGACAAGAAAGAAACAGAAGGTGTAGTCTCTATATACTCTAGTCTCTTCTGAGCCAACCAATGCAAAGCCTTAATCAACAAGAGCATTGTAACCATAGCAAGGAAAGTAATAGAAAAGTCCTGCCTAAAGATAGTAATCGCAAAGAGAATTTCCATAACCTCCCTCCACGCTTGCTCGTTAAGCCTCTCGACCTCGGCTTCTCGAAGAGAGCCGAGAAACACCTTCTTAGTTAACTGCCACATACTACACATGATAACTAGAGCCATGTTGAGAAGAAGCACCAAACTGATCTTGGAAGTTGCCAGATAAACCATTGCCGGATAAAATTGACCTCTACTGTTAAATGCATGATAGGTTACAGCCAAAGTGCCAATTAAACTAAGACCTGCATATGTCTGCAACCTCATCATTTTGATCTACAAAAAACACACAAACTATTCGAATTAACCCCAGAATATGAAATTGACATAAACAATCGAAATTGAAAGCGGAAATTATGAAACTTTCTGTGAAAATCGAAATTGGTACCGAATTTTGGAGGGAGAGGTGTGAGGGTTTTGTTGATCGGAACGGAACGGAGGATCTAGGCGGTGGGTAGCTACGGTTGGGTTGGGGTTCTTAGATAGAATTTCATGTTTTTTAAGTTATTAATGAACTGACCGTCCATTTTTTATGATTTAATAAATGTGATGTGGAGCGTCCAATCATTCTTTGCCACGTTGGCTTTTATGCAAAGTAAGCAAAAGCAGCACTCGTGTTTGTTTTGTGAGGAGTTCAGACCAGAGATGAGCACTACTTGCCATTTAATTTATTTTATAAACACTTTAAAACAAATGAAATTTGTTACGTAAGGAAAATTTAAAGTATTAAGTATAATTTTTTTTAGGTGTGGTTTTTATTATTTTTTGATAAAAATATGATAATTATATAATTTTTTTATATATATTTAAGTTATTTATATTTTTATTTTTTAAATGATATTTAAGTATATTTGTCATAAAAAACAATAAAAATTATACTTAAAAAATTATATCTAATTTTTTTTCAGATTTAAATGATTATTTAAGAAAAAATTAGATTTATTTTGATCTTTTATAAAATTATAGAATTCAATTTAATTCTCATTTAAAAAATCCAATTTAATCAGTTATATTAATTATTTTTGAATATTTTTTCAAAAAAAATTTCCACCTTATTTTATGTTTTTACCACTAAGCTAATTAGTAAGAAACTCGTGTTGTCGCACGGATCCCGTCCGAATTTCATATTACATGAATTTAATTTTGATTTGTAAAGATCTTTGGTATATATCAATGAAAAGGTAATATAGTTCAACTAAAATTCAATCACTTTTAAACTAAATAGTACATCAAACAAATGAGTTAACATTCAAACTATTAATAATGAAAATAAATTTTCCTTTATAAGTTCAGATGTAAGCATTTCCATGATACCAATTTCATAGTTGAATTTCAGATATGAAGAAACCAGCCAATAACAAAAATTCACTACATATATCAGCATAGAAAATGTATCAAAAGATATTAATGATTCAAAAAAATTTAGAAATACAATGTATTAGGTGATTGGACTTACCAACTAACAAAGTGATTGGAAAACCTCCTTGTATACAACATTTGTAGTGGTAGAATACAATATGACACTATCAAGCGATTGACCTTGGGATTTGATCGTACCTGATCAGAAGGGATCGTCGATGACCCACAATCTTAGACGGAATGGTGATTGAAAGTGAAGTGGGGGGGATACTTGCAAGATGCTCAGATGCTAAAGTAAGTATTTGAACAATAATGCAAGCAGAGAGTTTTAGTAAGTAGTAATCAATGTAATTGACCCTCTCGTATGAGAGAATATTTATAGCCCCCAGTGCTGGACCAAAATCTACGCATTGGATCGAATAGTTAGGCCCAATAACAAAGATAGTTAGGGTTACGTGAGTAGTGAAAGCTAACACATGACCTCCTCACTGGTCAACTGCTCCGAGATAGTAGGGATGTTATGGACTCGTTATTCTCGGTGGGCAGAATGATGGTAACTCCGGATAATCGTTGGCCACGCCTCCTTGGTGGACACGTGAGGAACTCCCCAACAGTTACTGACTTGGGTCGTACATTATTAGGCCATAGTAAAGGCGTTGGATTGGGCTTGCCCGATGATGGGCAAGCGCATGCCTAGTCCAGAACAGGAACCCTCCAAGTTATTGCTCTTAGGTAAAAGAGCGATGACCTAAGACCAGCTTAATTGTCGGGGAGAGATTGCCCGATAAAAGGACTGTTAACTTTTGTCGGGTCGCCACCGAAACTCAAGGTCGAAAACCTAATCGGAGTAATCGTGTTTCGGTCGGGGATGAGGTGGTCGTCTAGATTATTGATTTCCTCGTCCATTTTCTATGATCGTGAATTTGTGCCTGGCTACAAGGGTATGCGCATACTGTGGATGATTTATTCTGAATAATTTTCCTCGGTCGACTTGTCAGCTGCCCGACTTGATGCGGGTGTTTGTTTAAGATTCGCATTTGCGAAGGAAACCAGTGCAAAGTCTTCCCCGGACTTACATTCACAGTGTACCCGTAAAAAAGGCGCCATAATGAGGTCGAGCACTTGTTTGTCCATGAAGACTTGAAATGGCATCAAAGTATGGTTTTACGCATGAGATTTTTGAAGTCAAAACACACATTACTTCACGTGTCACACGTGGCGACTATTTAAAGCGCCTAGATTGCCTAGGCAGTCTATGAGTCTAAGCAATGATGACCCCTTGCATGCTACCCCGTATGGTGGGGAATAGCTATAAAAAGGAGGTAACAAAAGTTACTTAGACATTTTCAACTTTGCTCTTCCGTCGTCTCTTCTCAATTTGCTAGCTGCTCCGTCGTTGTCTCTGTCATCGAATTTTCCAGTTTTCTTCCTTTTTCAAGTAAGTGATCCTTTTAAATGTATGTTAATTTATCTTAGGATTTTAGATTAAACGTATGTAATTTTCGGTGGATATGAAATTTTCGACGAATCTCCTGGCGAACAGATGAATTTTCTGATGAAGTTTATGAGTTTCGGATGAAGATTCATGGGGTTCATCTGGGTTTATGAGTTTTGGATGAAGATATATGAACTTCAAATGAACTTTGTCTGGGTTCATGTTAGGGGTAAGCCGCTTTGTCGGGGAGAACATCTCTGTGATTTTATGCTTATACGAGAACATCGTTTCATCTCGCTTTTGCCATTAAGGGCTTGAGTCGAGGACCTACCCTTAATGCGCTCCTCGCCCTTTCACTTGACTTGTGGTGGAATGGTGGATTTGATGATGTCGAATTCACTATTTTCTCTGCTTTTCCGGTTAGATGGCACAACCGGTCAAAGAAGCTATTTTTCCCGACTTAGACAGCGAGGAAAACGTAAATACGGGCAACAACCTAGATTGGGTCGCATCCGAACCCAGAAACATGATGTCTCGGTTTGTTCATGATTCCTCTAATGCGTTCGATGTCGTCGAGAAAAGGGAAGATGATGCCCTCGCCTCTTCGTTGGTCCTCATTCCACATAAGAACATAAGGATCTGCTCGGCTTTCCTGGGCACGCGCTTCCCCATGTATGAGTTTGGCTTTAAGGAAATAGGGATGTGCGTGCCCTTTACAAATTTCCAGGTAGGGGTTTTCAAATGGTTAGACCTGGCACCCTCTAAACTCCACCTGAATACGCTCACATTCAGGCGTAGCATTTGAGATCGTTTGTCAATACTTGAATATTGGTGCTACCCTGACCTTGTTCTTCCGAATCTTCCATATCTAGCGGCAGACTGTTGAAGGATTTCAGACCTGGGTGTCGTTCAAACAGTTTGGAAAACTCTTCCGACCATATCTAGAATATGTTCGACATTTCAAGGAAAGTTACTTTGTCGTGAAGCCTATTTTAGAAGCGATCGTGGGCTTCTTGTACGATCTCTCGGTCAAGATTAAGGATGGTCGGGAAATGACGAAGCTACGGGCGAAATTTCCACTTGAGTGCCAGTGAAACCACTTCGATCAGAGGCCAGAACATTATGCAGTAAAGCCCGAGGAGCTGAACGCCCGGGACAAACTTACTTATGATAAACTAGTGGCCTATGTCAGGAGTTTCTCCCTTTCTAAATGTGTGGACTCCCACAACAACTTCATTTTTGATGATGAAGGGGAGCATGTATATGTTTCCCGACTGATAAATTAGAAAGCACTACTCAAATGCTCTTATGACGAAGAGTCTTTGAGACTCTTAGGTAGGGAGCATGCCCTTATTTGGTGTATGTTTTTTGTTTCGTAAGACTAACTGTTTCCCTTTTGGATTGTTGGTTGGATGTCGACTCTCCAGGAACGCGTGCTCAAGCTGAAGGGCAAGGGTGGCAAAAAGTTTCCCAAAGGACGTGCTGCTCAGATCCAGGAACATGCCAAGTTTGACGCCCATGTCGGTGGTTCCTCTTTTCCTCAAGGTGACCAACTCTCTCCCTCTGAATAACCCGCAAAAAGGAGGTGCGAGGAAAGTTTCGAAATTGTGGTCCTTATAGATGAGGGAAAGAATGTCGGGGGGACCTTTGTAACGCTTATAATTTAATTTAATTATTTATTTAATTAAATTATTTTTGGATTATTTGTGAAGTTGCGAGATGCTAAGAATTATGGGTATGGGTTGTTGTATTATTGTTAATTAATTAATTAGTTGATTAATAATAATTACAATGTTGGAATTAAGAGAATATTTATATAATGTTGGACTTATGTTATTGGTTGCAAGTAGTAAAGCGAGGGTGTGTAGGTTAGGCCTAATAGGATTGATATATAAGGCTAAGCTGACACAAGGAATTGTTTTAGTTGGTGTTTAAGAAGTTCTGTACGTTGATCGGAAGAGCCGCGCAGAAGAGGAGCAAGATGCCCGGTGTCGAGCAGAGCAAAGAAAGGATTTCAGCTAGAGCTTTGGTTGAGTGACCTTTAATCCAGGTAAGGGTGGGGTTTTGACCTTATAATGAGACTTATGATGTGTATTACATGGGAATTGGTCGTTTTATGATTGTTGTGCGTTGATGTTTCTGATCTGCTAGTGAAGTTGCCCCTTTATTCATGTTGTGGCCATTGGGGAATACTGTATGACCGTTTAACGAACATGTTATATGAAGTTTCCCGGTTGTGTGTTATGGATGTTTTATGTATCTGTGTGACTGCCGATTTAATCGATGGATAGGTTAGGATAGTGATTACTGGTCGTGATGGTCGTTAGGATGTTAGGTTATTCCGAGTGGTTAGTAGGAAAAGTAGTAAGTTGTTGAAATGGTCGTTTTAGGGAGGTTTCAGCGTGACTATCTTATATGTTTGATGAACATGTTATAGGAAATATAGTTTCCCGTTGTTATGTTATTCCGAGCGGTT